TAGGTGTGGTCAGCATGGGAGCTGCTGACTGGAGGAGGCCTGGGGGCCTCCCGGAGGGTTGTTCCCCTGGGCTGTTGGTGGGGGCTCTGGCTCTGAGGCAGGTCCATACTGGAGGTGTGATTTGGGGAGGGGTCAAGGTCTGAGTGGTGGGGATGGGGGTGGGAGGATGAGGAAATGTGTGTCTGGTGAAGAGAGGGGGATTTCCTCAGACTGGAGGCTCCGGGAGGGACCCTGTACCTCTGATGTTCTCAATAGGTCCGTGGCCTGTGGGGTATCTCTACAGACTCCCCATCCTGGGCTCACTCTCAGCACCTTCCCCTCCCTCCCAGCCTTCCCCTGATACCCTCAGGGAGACTCTCTCTCTGAGGAGTGTGATGGGCAGGGTAAGGGAGGCTGGAATGGGGGAGGGGCCGAGGCCTCCTGAACCATGCACATTCACTGCAGGGGTTCCCACTGAGAACTGACCTGTGCTGGGCCCAGGGTCTCCTGGGATCCCACTCCTCCTGCCTTGGCCAGCTGGTTGCAGACCAAGGCTGGTTGCAGAGTCCAGAGACCCCTGGAGCCACCTCTTGGCATTCCTACCACGTCATGGGGGCACACTCTGTGTGTGTATGTGTGGCATATGTTGTGCGGTGCGTGTGAGTGTGTGTGGTGTGGTGGTGTGTGTGTGTGTGATGCATCGATGACCTTGGATCTGAGGTTCTGTGGTGCAGGCACCTACTGAGTGGTTGTGGCTCCTCTCTGAGGTCCATGGTGAACCCCCCTGACACTTCTACCCGGCACTCCCCACCTGGTGTACAAAATACTGGGAAAGTCACATTTATTAAGGTTTTGACATACCCCATTGCCATATACAAAATCCCCACCAGCCATCAACCTCCCTCCCCCGGGGCTCAGGACCTAGAGACCAAGCTGCTCTCCAGCACTGGCCCATGGGGGTGCTTCCTGAGCCCCACAACCATCTTCCTCACCTGCCCTGCTGCAGAAAAGAGGCCACTGCCCTGCGGTGGCCTTAGGGAACAGACCATGGACCCGGTGGTCCCAGCCACCAACCTCACAGGTTATGGAAACCCACCTGCATCCAACGTGGCCGACCCGGCCTTCATTAGGACAGAGTTCCCATCTTGGGGGTGCTCTCTCTGGGAGAGGACATATGGGGGGCACGTATCGGGCAGGTGATCCCGGTGCGGAGACCGCTGGCGCTTCGGGCTGAAGGTCTCCAGGCACCTCTTGCCCACCAGGTAGACGACCTCACTGAGGTTGAGCAGGATGCAGATCACAGCTGTGGCCACCATGAAGTAGGTGAAGACCTTCTTCTCCGTGGGTCGGGAGATGTAGCAGTCCACAGTGTGGGGGCAAGGGGACTCGGAGCAGGCCACCACCCGGGGCATGTCGTAGTCCTGGTAGAGGCGGTGGAAGATGTAGAGGAAGGCAGAGTCGACGGCAGCCTTGAAAACGAGACTCAGCAAGTACGTCCACCAGAGCCCGCCCCGCTTCTTGCTGGGGTTGTCGTACAGGGACGGGGCGTTGGGGCCGTGCTTCAGGCGGTGCTTCCGCTCCCGCTCCTGGCGGTAGGCGACGTGCATGACCACGAGCAGCGAGGGGCAGGTGACCAGGATGAGCTGCAGGGCCCAGAGGCGCACGTGGGACACGGGGAAGAACTCGTCGTAGCAGACGTTGGGGCAGCCTGGCTGCTTGGTGTTGCAGACGAAGTCCTTCTGCTCGTCGTCCCACACCTCCTCCGCGGCCACCACGTACACCAGCACGCGGAAGATGAACACCACCGACAGCCAGATGCGGCCTAGCGCGGTGGAGTACTTGTTGACCCCGCTCAGGAGGCCCTGCAGGGACGCCCAGTTCATGCCGACTGTGTCCTTGCTTCCTCACGTGGACGGTCTACACCGCAAGTGCCCACTCCGGAGTGGGGGCCACGAGGCCTGGGGGAGCCTGGAAATGGGTGCCCTTTATTGAAGGTGCGATTGGCAAAACCCTTTCAGAACCACCTTGTCATCACATCCTCACCTGCAATGACTTGGTGGGGGGGGGGAGTAGGGATGGCTGTTATCCCCATTTCATGGAGTGGGGGGGGCAGTGGGTAAACTAAGGCCTAGACAGCCACCTACCCAAGGCCTCCCCCTGCTGGAAATGGTGGAGCTGGTCTTGAACTCCCATCTTCCAGCTCCAAAATCAGGGGATGTTTTATTCTACAGGGTAATGGATAAACGTGAAAGGTAATCATCTTCCATGGATGTGCCTGCCAACTTCTGTGACCCCAAGTTTCTGTGGATAGCATGACTTCTACAGAAACAGGAAGAAGGTGCAGGTTGGATGATTTGCCCTCCTGCCAGCTGCTGGGGCTCGACAGGGGCAGGGGATGAGGGGTGTGTATCATTATCCTCCAGCTTCTAATGAGTACCAACATGAGCCAGGCCCTGTGCTGGGTGTGTTCACATTGGCCTCTTTGAAGAACCCCTGAGTGATAACCATCCTCACTGAGAGGCCCAGGGCATCCCCAGCCCGGACATTTCCTCCCACACTAAATAGGCTCTTTGGAGCTGTGGCGGTTTGGCCCCATGCGCCTCCCCTTCCCTGCACCCATGCGAGCGCTGACTGTCCTGACCACAGTGGGTTCCTCTGGAATTCCAACCATTTCGCTTTAGGGAGGGCCTGGGAAAGGGACAAAGGCAGGATTCTGGCTCGGTCCACCCCTGATCATGTACTTTTTCTCAGGGACACCTGTCTTCTCTGATTCTCAGCCAGGTCTCCCATTATTCCTGGTTGGGCCTCTGTCCGATGTGCTCTGTCCTCCACACCCCCTTATCTGGAGAGCCATCAGGTTCTCTCTCCTGCCCCAGCCCCCCCGCCCCATCCCTGACTCAGACCTCACCATCTTCAGAGCTTCTCACCCTGGGACATTTTCTGAATACCCTCCTCTATCTCTCATGGCAGAATGGATCACTGGTGTTCAAATAGTCTGTTTACCTGTCTCCTGCACCAGACTGTCAGCGTCTGGAGGGCAGCCTCTACGCCTGGATCATCTGTTCCCCCAGGACTCAGCACCAGGCCTGGCCCCGTGAGCACACAATAGATGTTTGCTGAACTGAGCAGAAACTCTCTCTTCCTGGTCCCTCCTTTTCTTTGTCTCTTCTCTGGTCCTCTGTCCTCCCTTTGGTCTGGCAGGATGTCCCCTCCCCTCCTTGGGGCTTCCCTGGGGTTTCTCCAGGGATCCTCTGTCCTCTTTCTTCCTCCCAGGAGCCCAGCCTGCAGCCTGAGTTCACGAGGTTCCTCAGCCCACCTGGTCCCTGCTTCCCAGCCCCCTCTCCGGCCCAGTTGGGTCCTCACCTTTCTTGGGTCTAGCAGCCACTCTCTGGTCCCTGGGCTTGTCTGTGTGCCTGAGGGCCTCCCAGAGGCAGCTTTTGTTCCTCACTCCTCTTCGGGGTGGAGCTTTCTGAGCCAATGAGCCAAGGGAGAGTGAGCGGGTGGGCCGGCGGGCGGACTTCCCCGGGCACATATTCAGAGCAAACACCTGTGTGGCTCTTCTCCCCTGGCCCACGCCTTCTCTCCAGCCTGGATGGGCATGGCTGGGTCTGGCTCCCTGGGCTGGCAGGTATGTAGGTGGAACTGTTGGAGGGGGGGAGGCAGTGCAGGAGCCTTGTATTCTCATGTGAGGGCCCAGGTCAGCCCCAACGCTAGCCCCTGTCTGTTGCTCCTAGCCCCTTCCAGTTGCCTTATTGCCCCTAGTCCCTCTGTCCCCAGGCCTCTCTCTTGCCCTTTTCGGAAGCACGGTTCTGGGGTCCTCAGCAGGTGGTATATGTGGAGAGGGGCAACCTTGATTCAGCCCAGGATCACGTTGTTCCCAGGTGGAGACGTTTCTGGGGACTAGAGCTTGGGCTGCTGGTGAGCTGTGTGGGGGTGGGAGGGACGGATTCTGGTTTTTCAGACAAGGATACCGCTGCTCGGGTGGAGACAAGGAATGCAGGCCAGCAGCATGGAACGTCCCAGCTGGCATGGGGCCAGGCATAGCCTCCCTGTCTGTCTCCGTAGACCTGGGTCCCTGGGGAAGGCCTGCAGGGAAGTCAGGGTCTTCCTGGGTGGGGGCTGCAGAGGGGCCTTGGGCCTGTGTCCTTTCTGACTGTCCCGGTGGCTGGGATAGTGAGGATTAATGTGCAGCCAGGGAGGGGCTCTTCTGCTTGATTTCCCACAAGCATTTATTGAGCACTTCCTAATACCAATGATTAACATTTATGTGGCCTTTTACAGCTGGCTTACCCCATCCACAGCCATGAGCTCATCCAGCACCCCCCAGCCCCTCCAGGCTCCACGTTATTAACCCACTTTAGAGAGGAGCTGAAGTCACTTTTCCAGAGTCCCGGTGGAACATGGGTTCGAATGCAAGTGTTCTGACTCAAAAGTTCACGAACTTTCCATTGCAACACACACGTCCCCACGTGCTAAGCCCCATTATGTTTGCAGACAGCCCTTGGGCTTAAATTTGCAACTGGGGATAAAGGTTTGTCTTGAGCTTGAGCAATCGGCATGACCCCCAGGAGTGCTGGGGACTTTTTCTGGGGGAGGGGACGGCCCCTCCCCCTGGCTGGTTCAAGTCCAGCCCTTTGTAGGGGCAAGAGACGTTGACCCAGTGATCTGACAGGGGTCACAAAGGATGAAGAAATGAAGCAGGGCTCGAAGCAAGTGGAGGAGTTGACTTTTATTAAACCTTGACCGTGGGCGCCCCCCCACAGATGGCACTGGCACATCCATTCTCTAAATAAACCCCTCCTCACGGCAACAACCCAGCGAGGTGGGCTTCGCCTCCAATTTACACAGAAAGAAACTAAGGTTCAGTGTGGAGGGGTAACCTTCCCGAGGCCCCACAGTAGGGGGCAGGTGCAGGATGCCCCCTCCTACCTGCCCCTGCTTGCAGCTCAGCTCCCCCGCCCCCAAGGCTGCACCCATGGGAGATGCCGGGCCCTTTCCAACCAGGCTTGACCAGGCCGCTCTCACAGCATGGTCTTCTTCACATGGTCTCGAGGGTGGTCTGGTAAGAGAGGAGGGTGAGAGTCCGAGCCCAGAAAGATGAGGTCGCCTGAGAGGAGGTCGTCTTCCTTGTAGGAAGAGGTGGGACAGTCTGGGCGATGGCCTCCGCCCGTGGCCCTGGCTCTCCTCGCTGCCAGGCCCTCACGGCACCTCTTGCTCACCAGGTAGGCCAGCTCCACGAGGTTGAGCAGGATGCAAATGGCGGCCGTGACCACCATGAAGAGAGTGAAGATGTTCTTCTCTGAGGGCTTGGAGATGAAGCAATCCACCGTGTTGGGACACGGAGCTGCGTGGCACTTGACCACATGAGGGAGGGTGTATTTGGGGTAGAACGAGTGGAACACGTAGAGGAAGGCGGTATCCACGCCGGCTTTGAACACCAGGCTGCAGACGTAGGTCCACCAGAGCCCACCCCGCTTCTTGCCGGGGTTCAGGTAGAGGCGCCCGCCATCCTCCCCCACTGCCTCTCGGTGCTTCTTCTCCCGAGCCTCCCGGTAGGCGACGTGCATGACCACAAGCAGCGAGGGGCAGGTGACCAGGATGAGCTGCAGGGCCCAGAGGCGCACGTGGGACACAGGGAAGAACTCGTCAAAGCAGACGTTGGAGCAGCCCGGCTGCTTGGTGTTGCAGTCAAAATCCTTGTGATCGTCACTCCACACTCGCTCAGCCGTCACCAGGTACACCAGCACGCGGAAGATGAAGACCAGAGACAGCCAGATTCGCCCAAAGGCAGTGGAGTACTTGTTGACCCCGCTCAGGAGCCCCTCAAAGATCCCCCAGTTCATGGTGGACCCAACTGTTGGCTGCTACTGCTGAGAAATGATAAGAATTCCCCACATGTATAGAGCACTCACTCTGAGCACCTTATAGAAATACTGTATATCATCTGTATTTAATTCTCATAGCCACAGAGGAGCTAGGTTCTATTATTGTCCCCATTTTGCAGATGAAGGAAACTGAGGTTTGGGGGTTATGCAGATTGCACAACTATTAGGTGCAGAGCTGGGATTTGAGCCCAGCTAATTCAATCCAGAACCCAACTCTTATCCATAAAAGTGCATGAAGGTGGGTCCAGGGAGTCAGTCTTTCCTCCCAGGGTCCCGAGATTCTGGTCTTACAGTCCTGCAGAATGAAGGTTTAAGTAGGTGGACACTCTGCCCTTTCCCTCTGTCCTGACCCTGGCCCTCCTCCTCAGGGGGCCAAGCCTCAGGAAGACTTCTCTCCTTTTGAGACCCGCTCTCTCCTCTTAGCCCCTCCGAAGGGGAACCCGGTCTTTGCCCTTTCCTTGGCTTGTGGGACTGGGCTGGAGAGGCTGCTGGAAACTTGTCCCCAGACTGCCATCTGTAAATACCCAGGCAATGTCTTGCTGGAATGCAACTCACTAGAAGCAAGGCCAATGACAATCCAGCTGAAAGATAAAGTAGGGGACAACGGTTCTCTTTATCCAATGGCCTTCCTAGAGTAGCCTGGTATGCTGTAGTTTGGATTCCCAAACTGGGGTTCCATGGAATCCTGTCCATAGTTTGGCAACAGGAGTAGTAAGAGAAAAGGATTCTGTGTCCAAGAAAGGTAGGCAAACACAGGTTCAGCAAAGTTAAATAGGTCCCTTTACTTGACCATGCTAATACGTTCACACTGTGAGTCTCCAAAAGGGGGGCGAAATATGTAGCATTGCCCAAACTCCTTTGACCACAGAACCTTTTTTTTTTTTTTTTTTTTTTTTTTTTTTTTTTTTTTTTTTTTAATCATCTTATGGCACAGTCTTGTCAACACAGCAAAATGGGAAATTCTGCTCTGGTCAGTTTCACCAGTGAGTTCAGTGTGATAAACACACAGGTATCAGATTTAACTCCGTTTAGGGAGTATGACTGCCATTCTGAGTGTGTGGTGTCCACTTGATCTCTTGGAGTTCTTCTGCCTGGTTCCTGGGTTGGGGGGTGGTTCCCTGAGACCCATGTACTGTGGTCTCACCTGCTGGGATCCCCAAGGACCTCAGGGAGACTGCACAGCCTCTTGCTGTAAGGGGTTCCTGGTGCCCTTTCCAGCGCTGGTCTAGGCACTGGGCATTGCCCTGTCCTGCCTGTGGGATCTGTTAGAGATGGGCAGGGTAGTGGTAACAGCCAACAGTTATAGGGTGTTTATGCAACACCAGGCACTGTTCTGAGCACTTTGCACGAACCAATATAGTATGAAAGGGTATGCTATTTTTTATTGCCAATTTGCGGATGAGTAAAGTGGAGCACAGAGAGGTTAATTAATTTGCTCCTATTTGCACAGCTGGGAAGCAGCAGAGCTGGGATTTGAATTGCACTCTGGGGCCTGGACCCCTTTCCCGAAGCTGCAGGAAAGGGGTCTGTGCCCGTCCTCTCCTCCACGAGGTGGACGTCAGGTTAGGGAGGCTGGAGGCGTCTCTGCTCCCACCCTGTCTCCTACCCTGTCTCTCCACTCTTCTGTCTATACCACCTACCACTTGGTAGTGAATCATCAACTTATCTTTGCTTGGTCCTGCCTAAGGTGGGAGGAACTCCTGGCAGCCTGACAGGGAACAGCCAAGGAGGCTCCAGCCCTTAGTCCCCAGAGGCTTCTGGCCCAGCCCACCTAGGGTGTGGTGGGGTGGGGCTTTGCAAGCCCAGGCAGAGTCTCTTCGCTTGCTCAGCTTCTGGCACCCCTGTGAGCCCCTCTCCCACTTGGTCCCTGGCTCCCGCCTCTGCTCAGCTGGGGAGAGCTGAAAGAACCCAGAGCAGTGGAGGGAGGAGCCCTCTGTTCCTCTCCCACCAGAACCCAGGGTGGCGAATATGTCCAGGCTGCCTCCCTCGCCTCTCCATCAGAGATGTCTCCCTCTGCCGGGTACACCAAGGGTCCATCTGGACACAGGTGGCCTTACCTGAGTGGCTACTCCTCAAGGGTCCTGGCAGCTGGCAGTCGGAGGCAGCTGGAACTCATGTCAGAACCAGGGAGGGTGTTTGGGGCAGCGCCTTCCTGGGACGGAGCCTGCAGAGTCCGCAGGCAGCCGGGTGTGCCGCTGGCCTGGGAGGAGGCGGAGCTGTACGTGGCACTGCCATTGGCTGGGCCCCAGCCTCCCCAGACTGCCTCTGAGGAGGCCCAGAAACTTAAGGGTTCATGGTTCACTCTTCCTTGGGTGCTGAGCCCAGAATCCTGGCATCCTCTTAGGGTAGAGCCACAGGTCCACTCTGAACCTCGGCTTGTCCACTCATCCTTGGCCTTGTGTGCGAGGACCTGAGGTCCATCCTGACTTCTCATCCTTCTCCAGAAATGCCCCATGCTGCTTCTTGGGACTCTACAGGCTGCTCTCTGGCCTTCCATCCTTATGGCTTCAGTTACCTTCGAAAGCACAGTGACTCCCAAACACTGTCTCCAGCCCAAATGCTTTGCCCCATCCCTTGCTCACCCTTGGATGCCCTTCCCTCGCTCTTCGCATCACCTGGTACTCCTCCAAGAAGGCTTCCCTGACTATGCTGTTCCAGGTGGCTTAGAGCCTCATCTCTGGGCTTCCACGGCCTTGAACTTCCACATCATCGTAACTGTATTGGAATAGTTGATCTTAACTGAGCTGGTTCCAGGTAGGACCTGTCTGTTAAATAAACAAATCAATCCACATCAACAGACAGTTTTAGGGACCTGTGAGCAGGACATAAAGCAGACAAGCCCCTGACCTCCAGGAACTCACCAACTTGGCCTCGATTACCAGCTGATAAGACCAGTACCAGCTGCACAGCCTCTCATGACTGCCAAGAGGCCATGGGACAGGTTTTGGGGCCCAGTCTCCCCTTCTCCACCATCCTGTGCCTGTTGGAATCCAGTTCAGTCATTACACCCCTACCCTGGGTGCATGAGGGATTGTGCAAAAGGCCACCCCCTCCCCAACACACACACATACACAGAACCCCCCGACCCCCAACACTGCATTCAATAGCCTTTCCACCAACCCTTGTTTTATTATTATTTTTTAAAGTTTATTTATTTATTTTGAGTGAGCTAGTGAGCACACATGCATCTCTGGGCCTCACACCCCTGCATCTGGAATCTCACGCCCTCTGGATTTGATTTTCACTTCTAGTACTTTTATTCATTTTTTATTAAAAAAAAAATGTTTATTCATCTTTGAGAGAGAGAGAGAGAGACAGAGTGCAAGCAGGGAGGGGCAGAGAGAGACGGAGACACAGACTCTGAAGCAGGCTCCAGGCTCCGAGCTATCAGCACAGAGCTTGATGTGGGGCCAAACTCACGGATCACAAGATCTTGAGCTGAGCCGATGTTGGATGCTTAATCGACTGAGACACCCAGGTGCCCCAACCTCTGGTACTGTTAGACCTGGGAAATTTCCCTATTCTCCAAAGTACAAGGAGACTTTTTTTTTTTTTTTTTTTTTTTTTTTTTTTTTTTTTTGCCCATGAGGAGTGTCTTTGGAGGCAGTGAGCACAATGCAGTGCAGTGACTGAACATAGGGTGCGTGGCCGGAATCCCACTTCTGCCTTGTCCCCTCTATGTGATGCCTCAGTTTCTTATCTGCATAGTGAGACAGTAAGATCGCCTACCTGGTAGGGTTGGTGCACTGATTAACCCAGCTAACCGAGGCACGGTGCTAGAACAGTGCCTGGCACAAAGGAAGCCCTCTTTAGGACTACCCTTGATGCGTGTGAACTGATCTGGCTCCACACGCCTGGCACAGAGTGGGCACTCACAAAAAGCGACTTCCTCCCTTTTCCTTAATCCTATGCCTTTTCTCTCCAAGATGGAGGGGAGGCAGAGAAGGGAGGGGGAGACAGGCATACCAGAGGAAACCTCATGTGGACGAGTGCTGTCTTTGGGTTAAAAATGCAAAACCTGGGGGAGCCACAAATAGCACAGGTCCACAGCAAGCACAGTGCAGCCCCACATGTACACACACACACACACACACACACACACACACAGAGGCCACATTTACACGGGGCAGTGCTTTGTTTTGTTTGCTGCTCTACCCCTGGTGCCTAGAATGGCGCCTCGTACCAAGTTAGGCCTCATTTATGTTTACTGAATGAATGATGTCTGAAATTCATGCACCCTGCAAAAATTCACACACATCTCTGTCCCCCTCTACGTTCTTCCCGCCAAATGATTTCCAAGTCCAGGAGAGGGAGACACACGGATGGATCAGGTACAACATTGTGAGAAGTGCTATGAGGGACATACAACGGAGAAGGGAGCATCACATTCTGCCAGAGGGAGATCCGGACAAGGTAACATTTAAGTTGGATCTTGAAGGATGTGTAGGAGTTCACCAAGAGGAGCTGAGGAGGAGAGGCCTCCGAGGCAGAGGGCCCAGAGTATGCAAAGGAGCTCCGTGAAAGATGATAGAAGACCTTTAGAGAGTGGACTGGGTGGGGGGCTGTGGGAGCACCAGAAGACACCTGGAAGGTTAAGCAAGGGCAGTCTGGACCCTGAAAGACCCTGGAACACTGTGCTGAAAAGTTTGGATTTACCTTGTGTGCGGAGGGAGGCATGAGGGAGGGAAGGAAGCTACACGGTCATACCGGTATAGTTGATTCTCATTATTTGTGGTACTTATGTTCCGTAAAGTCACCGCAAACACTGAATTAGCAAATACTGAAACTTTGCCAGTGGGGGGAATGCAGTGTCAGGTTCTGCCAGGTTGTGTCCGCATTTTCATCAGCTGATCAATACCTAACCTTGTTTTATGTGTGTTTCTTCTTAAAGACACCTTATTTAATATATATTGTTGAATCATTAACGTTAACCTCATGGCCAAAAGCACTGTAACTCG